AGGCTCTGAGCTAGTAACCACTGCACCACCCGCCCCCCATCTCCTGGGCATCTGCCCTACTGGCAGGTGGGAGGTCAGCAAACAGGCTGGCACCCATCTCCTGATGGGCAGCCTCGCCCTGCAACCCCCAGCCCACCCTCTTTCCTGGAAGCCCCTCAAAGCCGGATCTGGGAGTCTGGCACTCCCGTCACACACCTACAGTGACTGCTTCCCCATCACTGACACCCATCCATTCACACTTCCAAGCCAGGGAGCTGGGACCAGTTCTGACTCACCCGGCCCCCTACTCTCCACATTCCATCAGCACACAGAGAGCAGAGGCTCACGTCTCTGATGTGAACCGGGGAGCCGGGAACCAGCAGCCCGGAGCAGATCCACAAAAAGAGTCGGCTCCTTTTCCCACACACCCTGGTTCCCTGGTTCCCACCAACCAAGGGCTCATTCCTGCCCACAAGGAAAGTTTTTTGTAAATTATAAGGCCCCTAATAATGGAAGCAAGTCTTACAACACTCAGGTCAAATGTACACACACAGCTATTTCCCAAAAGCACATGCTGCTTGGAGATGATGGTATTCAGCATTTCACAAAATGACCTGACACCTACTCTGTGCTGAGTGGCTCTCAGATCTTAGCTGCCCCAAGGTATCTCTGATAACCCATCCCCACAGATGAGGGGCTTGACCCTCAAGGAGTGTAAGTTCTGCCAGAGGTGAGGGACTGCTACATTGAAGAGCAGTTCCTTCCACCAGTTCCTTCCACGATGCCTCCTGAATTAGTTTCCTGTTGCTACGTAAACATATAACCAGAGAGTTGGTGACCTAAGACAGCACACACACTTGTTATCTGACAGTTTCCCTGGGACAGGAGTCTGGGCACAGCTGACCGAGTCACCTGCCCAGCATCTTACAATCAAGCCATCAGCCTGGCCGTGTTCTCATCTGGAAGCTCGACTGGGGAAGAATCCGCTCCCATGATTATTCTGGTTGTTGCAGAATTCGTTCCATTTCTTGGGATCTGAATGACTGAGGTCTTTGTCTGAGTCTTTGACTGAGGCCATCTGCTGATGGCTCCATGCTGTCCCCTGCGACCTGGCCTTCTCCAACATAATTACTTCAGGAACTCAGTAATGGGATCCTCTCTCCAGTCTGCTCAGTGGGAGTTCTACATAATGTAACATAATCATGGGAGTGATATTGCAACACGTTTGCCATATTTTTCCTGTTCTTGTGAAAAGCTAAGTACAAGGACTTCCCTGGTGGCCCAGTGGTTAAGAATCCGCCTTGAAATGCAGGAGACGTGGGTTCGATCCCTGGTCAGGGAACTAAGATCCTACATGTTACAGAGCAACTAAGGCTGTGCTGCTGAGACTGCATGGTCTAGAATACGTATACACAGATAGAGAACCCAAGCTCTCTGCAACTTAGACCTGACACAGTCAAAATAAATAAATAAATAAAACAAAATAATTTGTTTTTAAAAGGAAGTTACAGGTTCACCCACACACAATGGGAAGGGATTGCACAAAAGGGTGAACAACAGGAGGAGGAGCTCACTGTGAGTCATAGGAGAGTCTTCTCCCGATGTGCCCCAGGAAGGATGAGGGACACTCCCCAACCCACTGAGGTTGTCACTGGTCAGGCTTCCAGAAGGTTGTGCTCACATGCATACACACACGTGCACATGTACACACACCCACACACACACCAAGCATCCTCCTACTGGGAGTTTCATGTCAAAGACTCCATAACAAGCTCCCACTTTCTTGGATCCCCATTTCAGGAAATTCTCACCAGATCCCCCGAGCGGGAAGCAGGGCAGGGGTAACTGTCCCTTCACGAGCACAAGAAACCCAGGCTGTCCTCAGGCCTCTTGCCTCCACTCGGCTCCCCCACCTGCTGCACAGCCCCCACCCTGGCGCCTGTCCTGCAGCGTCAGCACGGCCTCAAGCCACCGTGCTCTCTAAGCCTCGGAGGAGTCGGGGCATTGCCTACCGGCAAGTGTGTTTCTACAGCCTTGTTTACGGTTGTTGAACTATTTTCGTCAAATTAATTAAATACATGCTAAATCTTCTCCAATTTGTTGTGTGATAAATTAAAGATGCTAAAATTGTGAAATGCGCAACAAAACCTGTTTATTCTGATAAAAGCCCGCACGACAGTCCTGAGTCAAGCGTCAGACGGTCCGGAACCTGCTTCTGCCACTGGCTTTATTAGAACGGGGCTTCCGGCCACCAAGCGCCTCGGTGGCTGGGGTCCCGGTGAGCCCACATGGCTACCTGAGATGGGAACTTGAGGCTCAGACAGCAGGGACCCGTCCTGCATGATCAGAGAAGATGCTGCATGGAGGCCGGGCCTGTAGAAGGCAGAGTCCCTCCCCAGAACCTCCTGGGGGATTCCTGCTGTCCCAGGGTCAGCAGCTTATAGGAATCATATCTAATGTGGATCTGAGGTTGTAGTATATACACTCAAGTAATCCTCATGCGGCTCCTGGAAGGAGGTGCTGTTATTACCCCATTGCACAGAGGGATAACTAGAGGCAAACAGCCCAGGACATGGAGGAGCCTGGGTGAGGCAGAACAGTCCAGCTACAGAGTCTGTGCCTCTCATTCTGTGTACACAGGATCCTCCTCCAGCTCTGACCATTCATCCCTGGCCACCCAGGCCAGGCTATGCTTCCTGCAGTCCAGGACACATACCACCACACCCACCCCGCAGCTAATGTCCACCCCACTCCTTTCCTTCTCAGGGCAAAGTGCATGCTACATGAGCGTGACAGGTCACCTGTGAGAATCCTTTTTACCCACACAGGGGCCTCCTGCAGCTCCTGGGAGAGAAGACGAGGGCATGCCAGCCAAACTAAGCCACAGAGAAGCTTGCATCCGTCCATCAGCCTGGAACACCGTCTTTTCCCGAGCATGTGGATGCTCAGATCCAAAGTGACTCCAGAGTCACTGCCTGTGTGGGTGGTTGGGCAAACCCCAGAGCTGTGCTCTGTTATTCCCATTTTGCGGATGGAGAGACTGAGGCCCAGGGAAGAAAAGGGACTTGCCCGGCTCCCATAGAGAGATGGCAGGAGAACTAAGTTTAGAGAAAAGGCTGAGCTGCCAGCGTCTGATTCCAGCACAGCCTGGTGACCACTGTCACTCAGAATCCTCTTGGCCTAACCAGGTGCTCTGGGCATCTTGGGGCCCAGAGAACACTTCACAGAGGTCTCGATGTAGGAGGAAGCGGGCCTCCTGGATGCTCCCCCACTTTCTCTGACATGCGTAAGGGGGTGGGTGTCATTTGGGCTCAGTCAGGGAAGCAGAACCCTGGTGAGTACTACAGTGTAGGAACTAGCCTCCACATCCCTGAGGAGGGTCTTGGAAGGAAAGTCTGAAGTAGGGAGCTATATGGGGACCGGGGACTGTCACTAACCAGCCCTCCTTAAGCAGGGGTGCAGGTGGAGATTGTAGAAAGATCTGGAAGCCAAGTGGGTCTGGCTGCTGGAGAAGGAGGCCAGAGCCAGTGTAAACATTGTTGTAAGTGTCTTCACAGCCTCCGCTCTGTGAGGTCACAGCCAAGCATCTGGTGGAAGGTCCAGGTCGCTATGAGCCAGGAGGGCCAGCAGTCCACAAGAGGAGGACAGAGGAAAGGACAGGGATGAACTGGAACCTGCTGGCATCTCTGCCTCTGTCTTTCCTAACTCCAACCTTGATGGTCTCAGAGCACACATTTCTCTTCAGGCTGACTAGAGAGGAGAGGATTCTAGGAAATAGGTTCCAACCCACCTGACCCGGCACGAACCACCTCGAGGGAATGACAGAGCCATTTGCCGAGAGCTGGCGCGCAGAAGGGTCACCTGGTACGGCTGTGCTTGCTGTTCACTGCTCAAGAGCACTTGGCTGAGAGATCAGTGGGGGCTGAACCCCTGACCCTAGCATGAAGCCGCACCTACCTGGATTCAGAGATATCTTTTTCCAATTTATGTAAGATGCTCTTTGAGGCTGGGCAGGGTGCAGGGAAAGAAGATATATTCCAGGTGTGATGGGGGTTATCTAGGTACCTGTAGGGATGGCCTTCCCCATCTGTAGCCAGTGCTGAGGAAAGGACCATTTTCCTTTAAGGGCTGGGCATGCAGCTTTCCTGTTAATGATTGGACTAATCAATAATAGGTATGGGGCATAAGGCAACCGTCCTAAATCCCGAGGGAACTGAGCTATGCCAGTTCCAGAGGAAGAGGCACAAAAGTGGGCCAAAGGGAGCTTACTCTAAGGGAGAATTCTGCCCTAGGCAAAACTATTTCAGATTGAACCAGCTGCTTTTGCAGGGAATGAGGCCCCTGTCAGTGGAGATATGCAAGTAGGGCCAGAAAGATGCTTAGAGAGAGTCTAGTGGAGGGGATGCTATGAAGTGTCAGGTGGCCTTTCAGCTACCTGCCCCTCCTGGGCTGTGAGTCAAACAGGAGAGGGATCTCTGAGGATGGGAGGGTGGGGCTCACCTCCGCCCCCAAGCCCATCCGCACACTTTCTCTCTGCTCACTTCTTTTCGGAACTGCTTTGGGTATTCAGAAGATTAATTTTATGTTTGTACAAAGCAGGGGATTAGGAGGGGAGGAGACTGAAGTTCTGTAGGTTGTTAGGAAAACACCGTCTTAAAAAAGACTGGTAAAATTGCTCTGGATACAAGTTACAGTTGAACGCCCTGCTTACCACCACTAACCCAGGGCTTTTCATTGTCGGTAATTTGCTCTCATGTTCTGCAGTCTCAGAACCTAAACCCCTGGGCACTAGGATGTTAAAAGATAGAGCGTGGCGAGGTGGCCTCCATCCCTCAGGGCAGGGAGAGTGGGGCGTCTGACCACCAGCCCTGTTCCTGCCAGGGTCTGGGCTACAGACCTCAGACAGAATTCTTCCATGGGGACTGCTGGCTCCTTTGCCCCCTGCTGCCTCATGTATCACTTCTCAGTGCTCCTCAAGGAACCCGGGGAGCAAGTGAGGCTCAGAGACGGCCCAGGCTCACCCCAGCATGCACAACGAGTTGCTGACTGCTGGTCCAGGGCTCCTTCTCTGAGCTGCCACTTGCTCTTTAAGATCAAGGTGGTGGGAGATGCTGGACCACAGCAGGACTTTCTGCGGGGAGTTGGGGGGCGGGCCTGGGAGACACAGCTCATGCCATCCAACATCCTATCCTTTTTTTTAAACAGCTTTGGCGGTTGTTGTTGCTGTCGTTCAGTTGCCAGGGACTGCAGCACACCGGCGCCTCTGTCCCTCACTATCTCCCGGAGTTTGCTCAGACTCATGTCCACCGAGTCAGTGATGCTATCTAACCATCTCATCCTCTGCGACCTACTTCTCCTGTTGCCTTCAATCTTCCTCAGCATGAGGATCTTTTCCAATGAGTTGGTTCTTTGCATCAGGTGGCCAAGTAACAGCTGTATTGAGAGATAATTCACATACCATACAATTCACCCATTAAAAAAGTGTAAACTTCAAGGGCTTTTAGTATATTCACATTGTTGGGCAACCATTGCCACAATTGAATTTAAATCATTTCTATCACCCCCTAAAAGAAACTCTGTACTTTTTAGCAGTTACCCTCCAAGCCCTCCTGTGGTTGCCTGAGCCTTCCCCAGCCCTTGCCAATCGCTAATCTATTTTCTGTCTCTATGGATTTGCCAACTCTGGACATTTCATGTAAATGAAATCTTATAGTACTTGGTCTTTGACTGCCTTCATTCACTTAGCATAATATTCTTGAGGTTCATCCTTGTTGTAGTATTGAACAATACTTCATTACTTTTTATGGTTGTATAAAACCCTGTTGTATGGATACACCATGTTTAGCTTATCCATTCACCCACTGATGGACATTTGAGTTGTTTCTGCTTTGGGGCTGCTACGAATCATGCTGCTGTGAATATATGGGTACAAGTTTTTGTGTGGATGCCTGCTTACACTTCTCTTGGGTGATTCGATTCATAAAAGAAGAGAAAGGAGCAGACCAGAAGATTTTTAAATGAATCTGAGGATGAGTGAGAGGAAGGGCAGTCAGGGGGACTTCCTTGGCGGCCCAGTGTTTAAAACTTTACCTTCTAATGCAGGGGGGTGCATGTTCGACCCCTGGTCAGGGAGCTAAAATCCCACATGCTTCGTGGCCAAAAAACCAAAACATAAAACAGGAAAAAATCAATAAGCACTTCTAAAATGGTCCACATCAAAAAAAATAAAAAAAATAAAAAAGTTCAAGCAGGAAAAGTCACAAAGGGTGAGGTAGCCTTGGCAGGCTTCCTGGAGGAGGAAGCATTACACTGGGGCTTAGACGAGAGACGTGAATTAGAGGAAAGAACTGGGAAAGGCCCCCCTTATGGCAGAAACAGCCTGAGCAAAGACACGGAGAGGAGGTGATGAGGGCCCTATCCTAGTACCCTGACATCTTTTGACAAAGCCTTGGACCCAGACTGTGGGAGGTGTGGGGCCCTCCCTGGACCAGCAGCATCAACAGCACCTGGGCACTTACTAGAAAAGCAGATTCTCAGGCTCCACCCCAATCTGCTGAAAGAGAGACACTGGGACTGGGGCCCAGACTGATAACTGTTTCCGGTGTGAGACCCACTGATGTAGATGCTGTGGGCTAAGGCATCACTCCCAGGTATGAAGGGCATAGAGGGAGAGAGGAAAAAGAACCAGGAAGCCATCACTGCAGCTCCAGCCCCTGTCCACTCCCAGCCCTGAATCACAGCTCCCAAGCCCTATCTTTGCCCACATGGCTCCCTCCCCCGGGGGATGTGTCCCATGTTTTAGGACACGGCCTAAGGCTTACTTCTTCTTTGTCATGTGTCATCCCACCACCAGCTGACCACTAGCCCTTTCTCTGGGTTCTAATCCCCACCCAATCCCAAACTACCCATTCTTTACATCCTCTGAAGGGGCTGGCATGAGCAGGGCATACAGCAGGTGCATAGCGCAGATCACAAACCAGGAAAGAGTCAATGAATCAATGATCCCTGGAGGCACTGGGGATGCGTCCTCTGTCTGGGAGCTGGTGTCTTGGCTGTTCACGCTGGCTGAGAACTCCCTGTCCAGGCCAGGAAGGATGACCCAGCAATTCCCACCACCACACAGATGACTCTCACAGTCACGCATGTCCGAAAGGAGCCAGGCATACTATGATACTGTACGATCCCATTTATCTGCAGCCCCACAACCTGGTGACTCAGATAGTAAAGAATCTGCCTGCAATGCAGGAGACCCGGGTTCGATCCCTGGGTCGGGAAGACCTCCTGGAGAAGGGAAAGGCTACCCATTCCAGTATTCTTGCTTGGAAAATTCCATGGACAGAGGAACCTGGTGGGCTACAGAGCAAGGGGTCACAAAGAATTGGACAGGACTGAGTGATTAGCACTTTCACTTTCCACACTGGTATGTGCACAGGAGGGAGTGGATCTGATTTTTAGACAGATCAGCAATGATGTTGGGGATGAACTGAGAAAACTCATGAAATTTTCCCGGAAGGAGAAGATGGGGGTGGAAGGCAAGGAAGACCAGGCTGCTGTCGGCACACATCTGCAGAATGTCCAAAAAAGAGAAGTAGACTGACTGCTTTGGGACCTCAGATGGCTGAGCCATCAGCAGTGGGTCGATGCTACAGATTTGGGGTCAAATAAGGAAGTCCACTTGATGGAGTGAGTTCCCCACAGGGGAGGTGTATAAGTAGAGATTGCGCCTCCACCCAGCTGCTGTTGGCAGGGTTCCTGCATGGGATGAGAACCCTCTAGCCCTGAAATTCTAGGAAAAGGAGATGAAGAAGAGGAGCAACGTGAAGGAAGGTAGAGCAAAACAGGGCCCAAGGCAAGAAAGGAGATGCCGCAATAGCAGCTGCTGGAACGGCAGCTCAACCTGGAACCATGCCCTGATTTGTGGGGAATTTGTTTCAGCAAATGAAAGACGGTGATGGTGACCAGGCTGTCCTCTGAAATGAATACCATCTGGGGAAAAAAATACCAAATTCAACAGGACTCATTTCTTCCCCCAACTAATGAAAGAAGCCAAGTTTTGTGCCCATTCCGATTTATCTGTTTAGAAAGAAGCTCTTTCTTTCCAGGAGCTGGACCGTCCTTTGGCCAGACGCGGGCTTGTGACCACAGAGAAGTACCACGTCTGAGGCCTTTTGGTTAAATGGCATTTCTTGTGAAATGTATCAGCTCACACAGAGTAAATTAAATGTATAGGTATAGTTTATATGATAAACATGTTCTTGACACCCAAGTACCTATTCCCTGGATTAAGAGCTAGAATATGACAAGAACCTTAGAAGCCCAATGTGTGACTTTGGGGGCAACCACTGTTCTATATTTCAGTTTAATTGCTCCCTTGTTTTCCTTTAAAACCACCTACAGTTCAGTTCAGTTCAGTTGCTCAGTCATGTCTGACTTTTTGCGACCCCACGGATTTCAGCACGCCAGGCTTCCCTATCCATCCCCAACTCCCAGAGCTTGCTCAAACTCATGTCCATTGAGTTGGTGATGCCATCCAACCATCTCATCCTCTGTCGTCCCCTTCTCCTCCTGCCTTCAATCTTTCTCTGCATCAGGTCTTTTTCAATGAGTCAGTTCTTTGCATCAGGTGGCCAAAGGGATACATGTAGGCCAAAACCACCTACCTGTATCCCTAAATAGTATATTTTTTATTTTGCTTGCCCATGACCTTAAAATAAATGAACTCATACTGCATACATACTTCTATGACTTTCTTCTTTTGCCAAATATTGCTTGGAGTTTTATTTATGTTGATGTGCATAACTATGTTTGCATGTGTGCTGTTATGTCCAACTCTTTGCAACCCCGTGGACTGTAGCTTGCCAGGCTCCTCTGTACACGGGATTTTTCCAGGCAAAGAATACTCGACTGGATTGCTGTTTCCTCCTCCAGGGGAATCTTCCCGACTCAGGGATAGAATGCATGTCTCCTGAGTCTCCTGCATTGCTAGATGGTCTCTCTACTGCTGAGCCATCGGGGAAGCCCCTATGTAACTATATTTACTTTGTTTTTTTTCCCCTTAGCATCTGACTCCATGAATATGGATATTTTTGACTGACGTGAATTGAAGACATTAAAAAAAATTTTTTTAAGTATACTGGGTTTCTCGTTATCTACTTATTATTTATTGGTAAGTTAATTTTACTGTGGTTCTAGAACAGTCTTACAATACACATCCTTTGAAATGTGTTAAGCTAGCTTTATGAGCTAACTTGTGGTCATTTTTCATAAATATTCATGTGTCTTGAAAAATATAAATATTCTCCTCTGGTTGGGTATTTAATACAATGTTCTCTGTGTATCTGCTTGACCAGGTTTGTGATATATACCATTAAATCTTTTAAATACTTTCTGATTTTTATCTACTTGATTTATTGATTATTGTAGGCAATAATTGTAACTGTCCCATATCATGCTGGACTTTCATATTGCCTATGATTTCTCTCCATTCTTGCCTTAAATATTTTAGGCCATGTTATTGATGCATTAAAAAAAATAAGAATTTGGGACTTGCCTGGCAGTCCAGTGGTTAGCACTTCGCCTTCCAACCTGTGGGGATGCACTTTTGATCCCTGGTTGGGGAGCTAAAACCCCCCTTGTGCCTTGTGGCCAAGAAAACACACACACACACACACACACATATACATAAATGCAAACATACACACACACACATACATATATATGGGCTTCCCTTGTGACTCAGCTGATAAAGAATCCGCCTGCAATGAGGGAGACCTGGGCTCGATCCCTGGGTTGGGAAGATCCCCAGGAGAAGGGAACGGCTACCCACTCCAGTATTCTGGCCTGGAGAATGCCATGAACTGTATAGTCCATGGGGTTGCAAAGAGTAGCATGACTGAGTGAATTTCACTTCACTTCACATACACACACACACACACACACACACACACACATACAAAACAGAATCAATATTGTAACAAATTCAATAAAGACTTTAAAAATGATCCACGTCAAAAATATCTTTAAGAAGAATAAGAATTTTTCTACCTTCCTGGTAAATTAACTCTTCTTAATTCCTCATTGATCTTCATCTTTCGTAAAACTTTTTGCCTTAAAGGAAATTTTTCCTGACATTAATACAGCCTTCCCATGTTTCTTTTTTCATCTGCTGTAACATATTTTTCCATCTTTTGTTTTTCAATCTTTCTGTGTCCTTATGTTTTACGTGCATACCTTGTAAACTGCGTATGGTTCGGTTTTATTTTAATGTTGCTTGACAGTCTTTGTCTTTTAACTAGAGAGCCTTTCCATGTATATTTTAGTGATTGGTGATCAATTTGGGTTTATTTCCACCATCTTATTATATTTTCTCACTAGACCTGCACTTTCTGCTTCTTTCCTCCCTCTTTTTTCCTGTCTTGTTTTGATCTGTGTATTAATTGGATATGACTGCCATACTATTGCAACAGACAGCCCCAAACTCTCAGAGGCTCATAACTACGCAAAGCTGTTTCTCACCCTCAGTCTGAGGTTGGCTGCAGCTCTGCCTGCTCATCCCCTTATTCTGTGTTGTGGGTTGACTCCAAGAGTAGGCTCACTGGGACCGGGCCTAAGGATTACAGGCTCTCTAGGGCAGGTGGCCGAGGCAGGAACACCAGAGACAAAGCCACGTTGTGCAAGGACACCTAAACCTCTGTCAGTGCGGCATCCACTCACATTCCATTGGCTGACTCTAGTCATGTGGTCAAGCGCAAGCTTGGTGGAGTGGAGTATCTATTCTTCCCATGGAATGAAGCATAGATGGAGTGAATACTTGCTAAAGGATAATACATCCCACCATGAGTGAATGAAGTTTTTAGGGCGATTTCTTCTCTCTTTATTTTTCCATTTTATTTTCCCCCATTTGTTTGAGTAATAGGTTACATGTCCATTCTTTTAGCCTTTATGCTATTTTAATAGGCATACTTAATACATTCTGAATTTAATGTATTTCCCTCTCCTGAAAAATATGAGAACCCTAGAACTGTTTAACTGAAATCACTTCTTCCAATTGCCATGCTATTTTTGACCAGCCTCTTAGTGCTAAACCATTTCCCTGAACATACATTAGACATTATTCTGTTTTATACAGGCAGTGTTTATTTTTGCCCCCACGTTTACCATTAATTTTTTCCCTTCAGTCCTTTTTGCATCTCACTCTTCTCACCAGAGATCCTTTGCACTCCTCAAGCACAACCACATTTTATCTTATAAAGGTCCGGCTGATGGGACTTCCCTGGCTATCCAGTGATTAAGACCTCACCTTCCAATATAGGGGATTCGGGTCGGACCCCTGGGAGCTAAGAGTCCCTGCAGCCAAGAAAAAAATCAAAACATAGAACAGAAGCAATATGGTAACAAATTTAATAAAGATTTTTAAAATGGGCCACATTAGAAAAAACTTTAAAAAAAAACTGGTCCGGCTGAATTTTCATGTACCTGAAAATATCTTTATCTCCTGCCTGTTGCTGTCCAGCCACTAAGTCCTGTCTGACTCTTTGTGATCCCATGGACTGCAGCATGGCATGCCAGGCTTCCCTGTCATTTATCTCCTATTCAGGCTGAATATAGAATTGATTCATTCATTCAGCATGTATTTACTTAGGGGCCTACAGCATGCCAGGATAGATTCTAGGGATTTAGGATGCCTCAGTGAAGAAAACCCCAAAACTTCCTGCCTTTGAGGATCTTACATTCTAAAAGACAAGGTAGGGATAAGAAACAAAGAGGACAAACCAAGTGTCTTGAATATTACAAAGTGAAAACCCACATCAGAAAGAAAAGTAGAGCAGCATGAGGGAAGTCAGATGTGCCTGCAGAAGAGAGGGTGGGCAGAGTAGACCTCTGCAAAAGTGACTTGTGAATGAATATCTGAAGGAAGAGTATTCCACTTGGAGCAAAGGACTCACACAAAAGTCCCCAGACGAGGGTGCGGTTGGCACATTCAAGGAACAGCAAGGCGGACTTCCCTGGTGCTCCAGTGGTTAAGACTCTCAGTGCAGGGGACACAGGTTAAATCCCTAGTTGGGGAACTAAGATTCCACATGCGTCAGTGAAAGTGGAAGTCACTCAGTTATGTCTGACTCTTTACAACCCCATGAACCATAGAGACCATGGAATTCTCCAGGCCAGAATACTGGAGTGGGTAGCCTTTCCCTTCTCCAGGGTATCTTCCCAACCCAGGAATCCACATGCCTCAAGGTGTGGCAAAAAAAAAAAAAAAATTCAAGGAACAATGAAGAAGCCAGAGTGGACAGAACAAAGCGTGTGAGGGGAAAGGGATGAGAGGCAGTCAGAGCTAACAGAGGGTCTTGCAACTTTTGTAAAGGCTTTGAGCAAAGTGGGCAGTACTGTAACGTTTCAAGCAAAATGACATTTATCTGAGTTTTTGGAATGATCCTTCTGCCTGCTGTGCTGATAGATAAAAGTCATTTTATTTCAGCACATTGAAAATACTGTTTTCCACTGCCCTCTCATTTCCATTGTTGCTGTTGGGTAGTTAAGAGGCCCCTGGAGATTCTGGGTTGCTGGTGGGAGACCCAAGTGGGGAACACATCCTCCTCCGCCAAGGACCTTGTAGCTGGAGGTGCCTGGGTTCTGCTGGGCTCCCCCTCCTGGCCCCAACTGCAGGCATCTGGGCCCATCACCTGGGCCCATTCATGTCTTGTCAGCTCTGGGAAAGAGGGGGCTCCCTATAAAAAGTCTCTTGATGATGACCATCATTCACTTCTCCTACCTGGAATTTGGGGGTGGGGCTGGGCATGGGGAGCAAGTGAGAAGTAGGGGGTGGGGGCAGGCTTGGAGCACACGCAGCCCCTCCCCTCTGGCCAACCCACCCTGAGGACTCTGCCGAGGGACCTTATTAGTGACTGGAAAGCTGGCCCTGCCACCTCCCCAGGCCTCGCAGGAGCTGAGAGAGGTTGAAGCCACATCCTGACCATCTTCCCGCAATCTGTCATTATCCCTTCCCTCGCCCGGTCCCACCACCAGGTAATTCCATTGTTAATTAAAATCCTGCAGACTTTAATAACACAGCTCATAATTGCTGTTTTCACCAGCCCCGGATTGGCTGTGCAGGCCTTGGGGAGACCTGGGCTTTTGTTTCCTGAGCCTGACTTCGGCGGAGCTGCTCCAGTTGTATATTCACCCACTCAGATTCAGCCAAGTGTCCCCCTGGCTTCAACGGTGGGACAAGGGGCACCAGTATCCCCCACCCTGGGGGCCACCCTAGAAACTCCTTGATGTGTCCTAGGGAGACAGGTTAAGGCAGGAGGCAGGGCTCCAAGGTGTCAGCCCCAGAAACACAGCCTGGTGCAGACTAGATCCTGTGGACCCAGTGGGCCCATGCAGGCCTGCCGCTGAGCTAGTTCATGTGTGGCCAAGCTCATTCACATCCCCACCTCCTCCGAGGCTCCCACTGCTCTGAGTCCCCATTGTGCAAGTGAGGAAGCTGAAGATCAGAGAGGGAGGAGACTTTCCTGAGGCCATACGGCAGGCAGGCAGCAGAGTCAGGGGCCCAGAGTCCAGACCTGCGGTTCCTCCCCGCTTACTCTCCACGTTGACTGTTTCGAGCTTCTCCACTTTCTTGCTCACAGCCTCCACATCATTTCCCTCTCTCCCTGCTCCCTTCCACTCCCTGCAGCCCTCCTCCTCTTGGTCGGTCATTCTGGGAGAGGACCTGGGGGCCCGGATGGGGGAATGGGAAGGGGACCAGAGGACCATGGCTCGGGGTCACAGAGTCCCAAGGCTGGGGGGCCCGTGGCCACAGCGGAACCAGGACAGCCACCCTCATGACCCACCGAGCGGGTGCTCTAGTGCCCAGCCCAAGTCTCCTTAAGGTCTGGAGGGCCATCCCCACTGGCTGGGAAAGTGACCCATTACCCTTTGCTGAGAAGGGCCGCCCCACCCGAGGCCTGGCCCTTGCCCGGAGCAGCCTGTGCCCATGAGTGGTCAGTGTGGGGTGGCGAAGGTCCAGCCCCAGTGAGGAGGTCCTACAGGCTGGCTGATGTCCATCTGCAACTCCCAGCTCTCCCTCTGTGCCCCCACTGCTATCGCCCCACCTGGGTGCTGATCCCTGAAGCATCCCCCTTAAACTCCCCCCACAACACACACACACACCATCCAGAATCCACTTTCAGGGACCCTGACCTTCTAGAACCATCCTTCCCTGTGGAATTCCAGGCCTTGTTCTCTTCGCTCTGCCCATCTCTACTCCTCCTCTCCCCAGAACCCCAGACCCGCCACCCTGCTGTCCGTCACCCCAGCCCAGCCCATGCTCCTGGCTCCTCTGCCCCCTCAGAAGGGAGGACACTGCTATCGAGCTAGAAACACCGCCAGGCACCCCTGTCGAGACTCTCCGGAGACCAAGGACCCCTCCGTGCCCTTCATAGCTCCGAGGTCTGCTGTGCCACTATCATCTTGTAGATGAAGGAACATCATCTGCACAGCTGGGACATGTCAGCACTCAGGCCGCAGCTGGTTGTCATCCGCACCCAGCTCACAGCTGCCTCGGCCGACCTCCTGAAACACAGCCTCCCTCGCTGCCGGCTTTGTGAAAAAAATCAGCCTCTTCACTCCCCTACTCTTGCTGGTGCCTCAGAGGGAGAATCACGTTTCCCAAGGACTTCTTTCATTCATTCACTCCCCCTATTCATTCATTCATTCATTCACTCACTCATTCATTCACTCACTCATTCATTCATTCATTCAACAAATACGTTTTGAGCATCTACCTTTTACCTGACCCTGTGTTTGGTGCTGGGGGCACCGTGGTGAAGAAGATGAACAAAGCCCACATCCTCTCAGAGCTTATATTCTGTGGAGGGAGACACACAATAAGCACGATAAATAAGTAAAATAAATATACGCCGAGTCAGGCACTTCCCTGCAGCCCAGTGGATGAGAATCCACCTCGTGGTGCAGAGGACAAGGGTTCAGCCCCTGGATGGGGAAATAAGACCCCCACATCCCATGGAGCAACCGAGTCTGTGCACAGAAACTGCTGAGTCCACAGGCCACAACTAGGGAGTCCGTGAGCTGCAACCAAAGATCCCGCGTGATGCAATGAAGATCCTGTGTACTGCAACTAAGACCCAGTGCAGCCAAACAAATAAGTAAGCAAATATTTTAGATATATACATATACACATGAGGTCAGATGGTGGTAAGCGCCAAGGAGAGAAAGGGGGCCTGAAAGGCTTGGGGTGGGGCCAAGAGGACAGTGTGCCCAAGAAAGGCCCCACGGGGAAAGGGACATTCAGCTAAGTGATGCAAGGTCCACTGGTGAATGAAGGGGCACGTGGAGCCCTTTTCCTGGACTCTTGGTGGGAATGGGGATGCTCCTCCATGCAGGGTGTGAGCAGAGTAGATGGCCCACCCCACCCCGCCCCTACTTGTCTATCCAGTGGTCCTGATTGGGTGGCCAGCAGGGCTCAGGGCCACCCACTCAGGAGAAGCAGCCTATTAGAAGGCAGAAAGCACCCTTGTTCCTGGGGGACAGCCAGGTCTCCCTAACTCTGAGCCCCGCCCAAGCCCAACTCCCCACCCTGGAGGCCCTTCCTAGCACCAGCACCTCAGGTGCATCCTAGTGCAAAAATACCTGCATGCTCCTTGAAGAGATGACTAGGTGTTGGGAGAACCCAGAGACCCCACATGAAGGGAACTCCTTGCCCAGAGGTGTCGTATGTGCCCCAGAGCAGAGTCCACTGGGCCCCGACTACTGGCTTCAACCAGAGCCCCCAGGGACTGTGGAAGATGTACCTGGTCAAGGTCATCCTGGGCACAGTTCCCGGGAACACCCAACCACCAGCACATCCCGCAGATGCGATTAGCTGGCCTCCTTGTCTTTTTCTCTGCCAGGCACCCAGCCAGGGACAAGGCCCTGTCCCAGCCTGGAGCCCTGTGGCCTGCCACTAGAGACATTTGGTGAATCTGTGCTGGCTGCCCTGTCTGATGGCCAAAAGGAATGGGAGATAAATGCCATGTTCTCCCCAACTATGTGACCAAAACACCTCTCTTTGGCTGTTTATAAGTGGAGGAAAGCCTGAGGAGCAGCCAGAGGAGTGAAAACATGACAAATACAAAACAAACTGCACAGGGTCCTTTGAAACTGAACTGACCCTGGGAGGTGTCTGAATTCACAAAATTCATGGGAGGTAAAAAGTAAAGCTCTGCTTAGGACTATCGAAAGTGTTAGTCGCTCAGTCATGGCCAACTCTCTGCGACCCCATGGACTGTAGCTCGCCAGGCTCCTCTGTCCGTGGAATTCTCCAGGCAAGAATATTAAAGTGGGTTGTTATTTCCTTCTCCAGGGGATCTTCCCGACCCAGGGATTGAACCTAGATCTCCTGCATTGCCAACATATTCTTTACCATCTGAGCCATGAGGGAAGCCCCTAGTGGACTATAGGGAAGTGATTATTATTACTATTTTTACTTTTTGGCCATGCCATGTAGCACGCAGGATCCTAGTTCCCTGACCAGGGATCAAACCCTTGACCCCTGCAGTGGAAGCTGTGAGTCTTAAGCGCTGAACTCCCAAAAGAGATTTTCTTGGTTTCTTTTGGCCGTACTGTGCAACATGCAGGATCTTAGTTTCCTGACCAGGGATCAAACCTGGGCCCCCTGTATCAGCTGATTAGTGACATTAATTCCATCTGCAACCTTAATTCTCCCTTACCACCAAAGGTGACATCTTCACAGGTTCCTGGAAATAGTACATGGGCATTTTTATGGGAGAGATCAGGGAAACAGTATTATTCTACCCACCATACCCACTTTCTTTACTGAGTGGTTGTTAAATTGAGATGAGTTTGGGGAATTCCCTGGTTGTCTGGTGGTTAGGACTTGGTGTTTTCACTGCTGAGGCCTGGGTTCAATCCCTGGTTGGGGAACTAAGGTCCCACAAGCCCTGTGGTGTGGCCGAAGAAATGAGTTTGTGTGATGAGAGCCTCAAGCACAGTGACTATCAAAAATTGACATCTGGGACTTCCCTGGTGGTCCAGTGGCTAAGACTCTGTACTCCCAATGCAGGGAAGCCAGGTTGGGGAACTATGCCCTTCACCCCACAACTAAAGATCCCATATGCCACAACAAAGACTCACTGCAGCTAAATAAATAGATAAATATCTTTTAAGTAGATATTTAATAAGTGGCCCCTCTGGGTATTTGTTTTTTATATTAAATTATTTAATAAAAAGCCATCTAGCAGGAAGTGCAAATGCATTGGGGAAATGCAAATCAAAACCACAAGGAGATATCACCTCATATCATACCTGTTAGATGCTTGTCACCAAGAAGACAAGAGAGAAAAAGCACTGGTGGGATGTGGAGAAAAGGGAGCCTTTGCGAGCTGTTGGTAGGAATGTAAATTAGTGCAGCCACCATGGGAAACAGTATGGAGGTTCTCAAAAAATTAAAAATAGAACCACCAGATGATCTAGTAATCCTACTTCAGAGTATTTATTCAAAGAAGATGAAAGCAGGATCAAAAGATGTCTGCTACTGTGTTCATTGCAGTGATGTTCACAATAGCCAAGATCTGGGAAAATCTAAGTGTCCACCAATGTGTGAAAGTCGCTCAGTCATGTCCAACTCTTTTCGACCCCATAGACTATACAGTCTATGGAATTCTCCAGGCCAGAATACTGGAGTGGGTAGCCTTTTCCTTCTCCAGGGGATCTCCCCAACCCAGGGACTGAAACCAGGTCTCCCACATTGCAGGTGGGTTCTTTACCAGTTGAGCCACAAAGGAAGCCCAAGCAAGAATACTGGAGTGGGTAGCCTATCCCTTCTCCAGGGGATCTTCCCGACCCGGGAATTGAACCGGGGTCTCCTGCATTGTAAGCAGATTCTTTACCAACTGAGCTATGAGAGAGGGAAGCCCATCAATGGGTGAACGTTAAAGATGTGATATATACAAATTATGAAATATTATTCAGCCATGAGAAAGAAGTAAGTCTTGCCATTTGTAACAACGTGGATGAAGCTCGAGGGCATTATGCTAAGTGAGATAAGCCAGACACAGAAAGACAAGGTATCACTGATATACGGAATCTTAAAAGAAAAAAAAGAGTCCAACCCACGGACTCAGAGTAGAAAAGTAGTTGCTGGGGGAAATAAGGGGAGATTAATAAAAAGGCACAAACTTTTAGCTTTAAGATGAATAAGGTCTGAGGAATTAATGTGTAACACAGCAACCGGAGTTGATAATCCTACGTTATATAATTGAAAATTGCTGAGAGCCGAACTTGAGTTCACACACACACACACACACGGATAAATGTGTGAGGTGATGGATGTGTTAATTAACTAGATGGGGAGACTTCTTTCACACTGTTAGTGTGTTCCAATCACCAAGATGCATCTTATAATTTTGTTTGTCAATAATACCTCAATAAAGATGAAGTTAAAAACAAAAGATAGAATATGGTCTCCTCACTAAAGGGATCACTTATAGGATCCATGGGGGACTTCCCTTGTGGTCCAGTGGCTAAAAACCCATGCTCCCAATATAGGGGGCCTGGGTTCGATCCCTTATCAGGGAACTAGATCCTGAGTGCCACAACTGAAAAAGATGCCACAACTAAAGATTCCCACCTGCCATGACGAAGATGGAAGATCCTGTGTGCTGCAACTAAGACCTGGTACAGCCAAATAAATAAAAATA